TGAGTATTCTTTATTAGTTAGAAGAAAGAAACTAGATGATTGACTGGAATAACCAAATCAATACGACGTCGGCTAGTGCTAACTTTCCCTTCATATCTATCACTCAGGCTTCCACAAACTATGTATGGAACCCTAATAAGCATGTCAATCCAAATGAGGATTAACCAAAAGAGTATGCGTATAAATGTCATAATCAGGGTAGCTAAATCAATGCTGGAAATAAAATAAAATTATCAAAGACCACGACGGAAAAGATGAGGTTTATCACTCATATTAATGCATTGTACCTTCTTTCGTAAGTCTTTATTAACATCTTGCAGTTGTTGTTCCTGCACAAATTAGTAATTGGTAATTCTAGGGTCTAGATGCTGAAAGATATATATAGACCAAAACCTGAAGGCTGAACAATAAAGACACATGTGTAACCTTGTGCTTGAGCTCGAAGAGCTGATCAAGTGACTGCTGGCTCTGTACAAGTGTACACAGAAATAGCTGGTCAGCATTACATTTTACATGTTAACTAAATCTGAACCTACTAGTTGAGAAGTACATATATGGAAATGTGATCACCAATTAATTAACTTGACTACGACAACGTACGTACCTTTGTCGCCCTGATATGTTTGAGAGAGATCTCAATTTGGCTGTCCAGTTGCTCAAGTTCCTTCATGTTAAGTGGGCCCAAGTCCTCGCCAAGAAGATTTCTGCACAATATCAGTAATTTTAGGCACTTTGTGGTGTTCGAGCTGCATCTCACAGCTCCTCTCTTCTCTCTACAATCTCTCTATCTTCTTGGCTCAACCGCACAACAAATCCATACATAGTCCACTGATCACTCCAAGCTCTATCCAATTCCTAAACTATCTCTATGCATGCATGCTAACTCCATGTCACCTATGATGCACCCTGGCAGACTTATAGGCACTGACTCAACACTAAACTGCATGACAAGATTAAATATCTAACACCTAATGAAAGATCTATATGATATTTCCAACATTTTCTTTACAGTTGGCTTGGGACTACATACCTCTAAGTTGTCTGTAGGAACTCAACTCTTGTCTTTAGCTTTAAATACTCCTGGTAATTGCTCTAGTTTGAATAAGAAAATTAACAGTCCACTGATTAATCAAGTGAATCATGATACAGAACAGCACTATGCACAAACCATAGATATGTATGTTTTTTACAAGGTACTACCAAATTAAGCTTACTAGAATACATGACATACTATAAGATACTGTAAGTTAGCATATATATAATAGTTTTCACATCACACTGAAACTAGAGAATAAGTCCTCTCCAGTGTTAATTAGTTACTGTCCTATCTGATGTTGTGGCATATTATGTCTTATTTTAAGAAAGATATATTAAATCTATCCAGTGCATATCCAGTGCATATGTTGAAAAGGTTACTAGTTCGGTCTTCGGAGTTGCAGTTGCCTCGGAGTTGAAGTTACAGCTGCGGTACCGCTCTAGAGTCTTGTACATGCTGTTGAACGACAAGAAAAATGGATTATATAGACAAGGTTTTGAAAGAAGAGAAATCATGAAATATGCCTTAACCTAATAAACGTAAGAGAATGTTTGTATAGACTGAAGTATTTCATTACATCGTGGTGTGAGACGAACAAACGAATAGGACATTTTTAGATCGTTTAATTTCTAAGCCACCAAGTCGCTTAAGCAATTGTATGCAACTGTAGACACCCCTTGGATTGAAGGGCTTTGTAAGCATTTGTAGGATTTTAATACATAGGAATTTTCCCTATAGAGGTCCTTTAGATCGAAGTAATGAGACCCTAACAACATTCATTTTTCTTGCCCCTATCTAACATTTTAAAGTTTAAAAATATCATTCTTCATGCATGCCCCTTTCTAACATTTTAAAATTAATATAAAAAACACTACAAGTATCCAAAGGGCCACCCACATATGCAAATCCCATGCCTTGGTTCCAGAAATCCTACATTAGCCTATTCCTGCTTTTTTTTTTTCTTACAGTACATTGTTTCAAAGAGGCCTAGGCCTAGAAGTGTGCAACCTAATTAATATGCAGCTAGCTGCCTGATTTTCCTTAGATAAAGAATCAATATTTAGGCTCACCGAGTTAGAAATAGAGCCCTCATTCCAAACATGCCCACACTGTAAATATTGCAACATATCTCTAATTAATGAATAGATGGCCGATTTTCTGGAAATTTAAAGACATGGAACAATTTTAATTAAGAAAATTAGGATATTATATTGGGCACATCACATTGTCGGTACACAAGAAATGCTTGGCAGCTATAGCATAACGAGACCTCCAATGCGGTTTGGTCGAATTTGGATAAGCCAGTTTTTATTCACAGTGCACACTGCACAAACACATAATACTACGTATGTCCTCAGTAGTTCCTCTCCAAAAGAATAAATATGTTCTCAATTGTTACCGAGAGAACTGGAAACTTTTTCCGTAAATATGAAACTCTTTGTAACTAAAGTTCTCGCTACCTGATCCACTAATTTAATTTGTAAGTACGTGCTATTATAGAAATAAAGAAAAACGCCGGTAAGTTTGTGTAGCCTTGTGTACTACTCCCTCCTTTCACAAATACTCCTACGAGATGTTTTGGAAATTTTAATACAGACTGAATACGGACTGAAAACGAGTGAACAAACACACTAAAACACGTCTATATACATCCTATTCGAAAAAGATTCGGAACATCTTATAACAACGGTGAGCAGAGGGAGTAGCTAGGACATAAAAAAAACGATTCACATTTGCAAGGTGAAAAAAAAACATGTTCAGATCTGTCATGCCATCTAGCCATTCAAAAAAAAAAAGACTTGCATATGCTTGTGACGTGATGGCACGTGTTCAATGCAACCGAAAGAAAAAGTAAGAGCACGCAGGGTAACACGGCGCTTAATAGTCCCTCCGTCCGATAATATATACAATAATGCTAAATATACAAAGGTTTACATGCTTTTACACGCTGACTAGGATCTTTTACACGTTTTGACTTGTATTTCTCATCAAGTTCCAGTACGCATTCGACGTGTTTGCTACTTTGCTTAACTGGCCTGTACTGGACGGATACGCTGGGCTACACATTTCATTTCACCTGCCGTCTGTCAAAGGTATAGAACCAGCCGGCGGAGGGTCCGCTCCCATGCATGCCAAGGATAACCCCTGTTGAGCGCATCGATGCATCTCATTTTCTCGGATTACTTTTCCGTCCACCTCTCCCCTAGCCTCTGCGGCGGCGTGCGCGTACGGTGCCCGGCCAGACAAAACGTGGAGAAGGGGCAGGCCTCGATGGAAGAAAGTAGAATTGGATCCGTTGGAGGAGAGGTGAGAACCTATGTGGTTCCCAATGGAACAGTAGTAAAAGTACAATGCTCCACTTACGGATGAGTTTCACGGAAGCTGTCGTACGGACTGATGTGGCAGTCTTGCTAAGAACGAAGCCCTATCACACAAGATCCACCAACACACACCGTAGATGCTAGCTTAGCTAGCTAGCAAAAAACGGAGGCCTCCAAAATTTCTCAAAAAAAAAAACCATCCAGGAAAGGGGAAACAGCCAGTCAGCAAATGACAGGGAAACAAACTTTCGCCAAAATTCTCAGCAACAGTAACAACAACAACAGTGGCGGAGCTTGACCAAGTTCCTTGGGGGG